GCCATGTCGTGCTACTTTACGTACATCGTTACGTAAAAAAAAAAACATACAAGAGAAAACGCTGGTTTGGGATGACAACCGGAAATTAGATCATGTCTTGTTACAGCGCGATGTCGAAGCTGCGCTCGCCAATTCATCCAAGACGTGTATAACGCGATTACGGTAACACTGAGGTAATCAGGCCACATGTTGTTTCCATTCACTAAGAGGCGCGACGGCGTGCAAAATTCTCACGGAGTCATAGTCAGCCGCGTTTTATTACGTTTTACGTAAAGGATAATGACTGAGACGTCTTCTCCGCGCGCAATTCTTTAATTCAATTCTTCCTATCTTATAATCAATTTTGAAATCTTTCATAGTTCGTTGTTCTTTCTTTGGCAATGTGTTGTATGTTCTGTTGCGCAAAGTAAACATCTCTCATTGTGTCCATTAATTAAGAGCGACAATTTTTTGAAAAAATTTTTTTCACAAAGAAACAAGCGGTTTGGTAAAACAATATTATTTATAGAACGTGGCAATAACAAAATGCAATTCCACGATTAACAAAGTGGTATAATTATTTCTAGTAGTACATATTATTGTACATATACTGTTGTATACTATTATATTGTACATGAGCTACTGTTATATATGGAACATAAGATAATGATTACGTAAACTTCTCGTGTATCACGTGGGTCGAATACATCCGCGAGGAATCCGATGTCACGATGTATCGATTACCAATTTAGTCATGGACCGGATACGTTGCCGACGATGGAAACCGGAAGTGGTCGGCCGACAATACGCAGCGGTACTTCATTCGTGATTGCCGTATTTGAGCAATACGTTCATGTGCGTCCGTGTGTACATCTTATCGAGTCGATGAACTCGAAGAAGCCTATGTCTGTGTTAAATGAACAAAACAAAGTTTTGTAATTTCGAGCGTCGTTGGAGTCATCTTTAAAAGCGAAGAGAACACAGGAAGATACATTTTGCATTCATCTCGGAAATGTCGCAAACCAATGAACACGATTATACGCGCCTCGCAAAAACCGTTCATCCCTTCATCGAAGAGACATTTTAGAGAAAAATATTGTATTTCACGTAGGCAAACTCGATTTCACTAACTTTCATTATCGTGTAATTATCTAATAAACTGAAATATCACTTCTCACAATTAAAATCACTATTACGAATTCCGTTTGAGTTGGAGCGTGTGATTTTCGTTTCGAAAAAAACAAAACGTACGTCTGTAAGTAGCAGGTTTCCTGAATAAAAAAGCAGATATATCGATACTTGTATTTAATTTCGATATCTCGAAGAAAATGCGCGTGAGAAATGTATGAAACGAGAATTCACCGCCAATTAAGATAAAGATACGTTCGGAAGATACCGCAATTATATTTATCACAAATTGCGGTATCAGCGACACCGTCGGGCGCGCGATATGATATTAAATGTGACGGTAAAAAGGTGATAAAACCTTGAGAAATTCGTTACCGTAGTTTCACAGAGAGTTAGAAAAATTAATCGCTCTGGGAAGTGTTTTTTTTTTTTTTTTTTTTTTTTACGAAATCCGTTCGGAAGAAATATACGAAGGATATGATACAGGAGCGCAATTAAAGACAGTGACGTTAGCTAGTCGTTATACAGATTGCAGTCGGTACGCGCGATTCTGTGCTTCAAATTAACTCTAAATATCACATTTATTACTGTAATTAAAGACGCGCTCGCGCAATCCGGAATCGCCTTTTATTACGGTTTATACAATATAATTGATCGCGATGTAAGGATCAAGATACAGCCAGGATATCCAGTTAGAAAGTATGTTTGCAGTACTATCGTAATTACACGACGATGCGAACGTTTCCTGGTAACACGTAGAGACCGTTATTCGGCACACTGCGCGCGGAAGATACATAAATTTGTCCACAGCAGCTGATATCTCGCTTGCAATATCTCGCTACACTTTGACTGTCTGGAAAATGGCAATTTTGTATAATGCACGTTCCCCGATACGCACTTGACCGCGTACAAACGCGAAACGTCTTCTCTCAAGTTAGTTCGAAGAAGAATGATTTTGTTGCATAGTCATAAAATAACTTGTTGGAGACCTTGCCGCTGCTCTGTTTTTTTTTTTTTTTTTCCTAACCAGGATCGTATAAAAAAACGCGCGATTTCTCGATTGGAATGATGTAAATCGTTTATTACGGATTTGTATCCGATCGTCTGGCACAGTTTGCCGATCGATTTCCAGTACCGAATTATCCTTCGCGTTCTTTCACGCTCGGCTACCGCGCGAAAAGCACAGAGAACGCGCGCTCTCAGAAGTCATTGCTCGCTTTTTACACGCACCGTTTCGTGCACCGCTTAAACAGGAAACCCGAATACTTTCTAGCGCTGACCTACAGTCAGTCAGCGCCTGAGATCCTTCTGTCCGATATTTATGCGTAATTATCTTTTTTATCCTCACCAACGCGAAGTCGGTAATTAACGATTGTGAAGTGCATGAATGATACGCAACTCGCACAACGCTATTAATACACAAACCGACCGGTAACATTGTGTGCAAACACGACAACGAGCGTCTTTACTATTTCCAACAATCTGTCGTTTAATTTAAATATTTCTTGCGTGCGTTCATTTTTTATGCACGTTCAGCTTATAAATAGATAATAACGAACATTATTCCCCTCTGTTGAATTATTCGCACAATTGACATTTAAATTCCCTCGGAGAACGCGAAGGGTATCCCGTTTCAGCATGATCGTGTTGACAGCGCATATTAGTTCTTAATATTTTATCAAATGAGCCTTGGGAATTTTTCATGCGCGAAAATTCTTCTCTGATCGAAAGATATCTCGAAACACGCCCTCGCGCGCTCAAAGGAATTAAAATATACAAGATGCGGAAAAACAGGTTTAACTTCTTTCCGTTTACCTACTATCAAACATTACACGAGGAGCAATTCGAAGGACGGCGAGCGATGGACTTGCTCGATTCCATTTTACCGGTTTTGCATCACAAACAGGAGCAGGACGATCCGCACACACAGACGCGCGTCGATGATGTTTCCTCGGGAGAAGAAAACGCTTCGTTCACACCGCGATGTGTGTTTGTACATAAACATTACACATAGAAACGCGCGTACGTTGTGACGCGCGTCCGGATTCCCTGCTAAACCGTTATAATCGCCGAGAATCGACTATCGAACGGAGCGCAACGCGGCCGGGGCGTTTAGCTCACCGCAGGAAGTTTTCCTGCCGCAACGACAACGATCGTAATCATGCGTAATCGTAATCTCGTCTCGCGGTCGGTACCGATAGCTACTTCCTGCGGATTGTAAAATCTAACGGGTCTGGCGATTCAGCCGAGCGATCGAACCTCCGTTCAACATCGGGACGACAACGCGCGCCCGCTTCTTACGCAAGTACAGCACAAGAGGAGACTCGCAAGTCTCATTCCAACATGCAAATTAACTTCTTGCGATCTGAAATATTTCGCAGCGGATGGAAGAATCAAGAAATGAGAAGAATTAATTCCACAATTGACGTACCCACGGAGTAGTGACAGTAATCGACTCGTTATCTTCTTCTTCTTCTTCTTACGAAATCACGAAAGTTCCTAACTGCGTGTTCGACCATTGTTCTTCTGTAAATACCTCTTACTTTTCTGCGTTTCAAATTATTTCAAGTATATCTCTCTCTCTTAATTCGCCGCGGCGAACGAAATCCTGAAGTGTATAAATGTGTGTGATTAAGGAAGAGTTCTCGCGCGAATTGCTCCCACGACGCAATCGGAAGCGACAGCATCTCCGAATCTCCGCTGAGTTCTAATTACCACTTCTTGGTTGCTAATTGAACGTGAGTCGCACGGTCGCTTGCTCCAGTTAAAATATTGCGCTTCTCCGAACGGACAATAGCGCGTCGATTGCATAAAAGCGACTGTGTAATGACGTGAAATATAATAAACTTTCGCGATTCATCGCTGTATGTGTGTGTAATGTCTACTTCGTTTTTGCGCGAAGCGCATACATACATTGTACGAACAAGCTAAGCGCTGCGAGTGTGCGATCGCTTTCCAGCGCTTCCCACGAGTTCGCTCATCCGACGCGCCTCGCGGCCGTTGCGTCACACGTCTGTTCGTAATCGCTTGCGGAAAACGATAATGTATATAGAACGACCTGATTAATCATGTAATTTTATTACATGTCTTGTGGCACAATCGTGGATTTAATTTTATTAGAGTTTAAAAAACACATTTCAAGTGTAAAACAAAATATATTAAATTTATGTATTCAAGAACATATATTAAAGAGATATAAATACACTAGAGATACTCTGTGAGAGATTTATGTTTCAAAAAGGGATTTATTTTAATATAAACCTACGCAAATAAATAAATATGTAGAATGTCAGAGCAATGGATGAGAGAGAATGACGCGTAATGTTCGGAACAGCTTGGTGAAAAACAAATGGTTGGTGCTATTGTTAACAGATATAGGCGCGACTGCAAAGAGGCAATAGAACAAGAGAGAGCGAGAGAGAGAGAGAGAAAGAGAGAGAGAGAGAACGCGGCGTAACGCGTCATCAATAATAATCTCGTGGTCGGCGACGGTTATCTCGGTTACGCGGCGAGGTATGCAACTGCTCCGTGCCACAATTCAGCTACAGAAACCGTAAGGAATTTTATGGGAACCGGTGTGTATTCGACGGTGTGTACAGAAACGGGCGATAAGTCTTCCGCGTTCTTTCGCGATTATGATGAACGCCCGACGAATGTGAAAAAAGTCGATAGATCGCTGTTGGATGACCAATCGTGCGCGGTTTCTAAAAATAAAACGACGCTCGCTAATTTTCAATGCATCGATGACAGAAGCGCATTAGTCATCAAAGAAATCACATACCTCGTTCATACATCGTTCAAACAATATTCCACAATAGTAGTTTAATTACATAGCCGTACCCGTAGAGATGCGAGATTAACGCCTACTCACATAATTTTCTCATCTGTTGCAGGAATATGCTGATAAGAGAGTTGGCGGCCATATGGGTCGCCGTCCTCTTGTGCCATCTTCAGCTAACGGAGTCTCAGGTGAGTGTGATACTATCAAAGTTTCAGCAGAACTTCAAAGAACGTCGCTTCGATCCGCGCTACTTGTGGCTAAATTATTCGCGTTTAACTCGACGCTCGTAGTTTTTTTTTTCCGCATTTATTGCGTCGCGTTTCTACAAATTGAATTCTAAATTTTTCGCTTGTTTGCTGATATATATTGGCATTCTCTTACGAGAAAAGTTAAGTCGCTCAGCGAAACGTGACAAAAAAAAAAAATATCTCGGGCGCTTTTTAACTTAACCGCGTCGTTCGAACGAAGCAAACTTAAGCGCTCGGCGAGGAGTAATTTCGTTTTACGAGGCGGAAAAAAAGTTGCGGCTCCGCGCGCAGCGGAAGGACGGAAGGAAAATACGCAAGAGATGACGGGACGAGCCCTTTGTAAGGATTCCTGGGAGTTTCTACCTCGGGTTATGAAGTAATTGGTATGTCGGCGACGAGCTTCGTAGGAGTTAGCGGTGTGCCGCGGCTCGTTTCCACGAGATGTGGCATATGTGAGGTGAAAGTGAATTTCTGTGTACAAGCGCGCCCGCGCACGTGCACATGAACACGTACTGGCACTAACGCGCGCCTCCACGATCACAGCAAACACACACACACACACACATACACACGTTGTTACAACATTTTAAACCATGCAGGACGTAGATAGCGCGCGATTCGCGGGAGAAGAGGAAACGTGGAATGCGAAGCCCAGGTGTTTTTCGCGCGCGCGCGAGTAAAGTTGAGTGTTTTTCTTGAAAGACTGACTAGAGTTTCCGTTAAAAAAAAAAAGCAGCAATTTGTCCAGCAATTGGTGGCGGAAAATTAAAATTCTTGTATAGATTTCTCTCGCGGATTGCGTTTAATTTTTCACGCGTTTCTATACTTCACATATACGCTTTTCAGCACTTTCGTTTGGTTTAGAATTTAACGGTCGCCCGCGCGTTACGTTTTCACCTCGCGTAATCCCTCAACGCGCGTCTCCTCGCGTAACAATTCAGTAAACGTTAAAATCTTACGTAATGTCACGTTCCTATTGTAATTTGCTGCGAACAAATTGAGTTTAATAGAAGTTGCACGTGCGCGGCTGCGCACGGTTTCTCATTAAAGCGCGCGACTCAATTTTCGCGAGGCGAACTCGCGCGAGAATGCACGAGAGGGTGCAGCCTTCCTCTCAGAGCTGCCGCAACTCTCTTGCACACTCCTCTCTCGCAGGAATGTAGTCACCGTTATGTCACCGATACACACGCAATACGTACGTACAAAAGCAACGAAATATACAGTCGCGTCCCGGAGTCCGTTCTTCTTGGAGTACCGAAGATACTTTCCTGCCTCCTTCTGGGAGTCGGACACAAGAAACGAAGATTGTCGGACAGATTGCATCTTCACTTTCTCCCGCGCCAGATAACAATGCGTCTGGCACGTTCGAGTATAGTCCGCGGCACTAGAGCCATTGAGCGAAAAAAATGCTACTTCCGTTTGTAAAACGCTCGTGCAAAGTTTTATTAAAACAGATGAAAGTGCAAACTTTCGAGTTTTATTGTAAGTTTTAAAAGCCAAATGTTAAATCAAGTGTCTTTACACAGCATATCGATTTCAGATATTAAATGGCTTTATTCTCTCTCTCTCTCTCTCTTTCTTTGTCTCAAGAAAAGCATCGAAAGTTGATATGTATTGAAGTTCTCTCGAATATCTAGACGCTAAATATTGACACCTTATCACGATGCTGATTGGTTCGTTTTGCAGTTTGCTTCGCATAGCTGGAGACATTGTCAAACGTGTGTTGTTTGACAGTTCAATGTAACATAAAATTACATAAAATTAATAACAGGCACACATAGCGTCCGTCTAGTTCTATAAAATAATAATAAATAAAAAAATCTAAGAGATGTAAACAAATTTGAGTAAAATATATTTTTAAGCACAAATAAATTTTAGGTACAATAAGTGCTAATCTTTTTTTTTAATTTACAAAAGCGCTATTGAGAATTCAGTGGATTTTCGAATGTTAGTATAGGTATACGTGCAGGAATGTCAGATATCTGACTTTAAGCAAACGTCGCATTTCTGTTGCAGGTTCCTAATACAAATGTCTTCATCTGTCCAAACGGTGAGTAACAATATTTATATATTTGCTTGAGCAACACTTAAATCGAACCCTCTCTGCCTTGAAAAGGTTATTTTCGGTTTTAACGTGTGTGTGCACGCGCACACACACACCTGCTCGAGTGAGAGACAGGTTTGAAAAGTTTCAGTGATAAATCAAATTTTTTACTGGAAACAACGTTCAAAAGATCTGGCTTGCGCGTGTGATCTCGCATATTCTAAGCAGACAATTTTTAAAAGTGAGAAAAATGCAAAACAGAAATCACGCGGACGTGTCTATTTATCAGTCACGTCTTTGTGAATAGTTAAAAAGACTCGTGATGAGAAGATGTGATGTGAAAGTCGCACCGTAAAGATTTTTTTCTTTAATTATATTCGGAGACATCGTAGAAATCGGCATTGTTGAGGCGATTGGACGTTAGGTGACTTTTACTTTTGAGATCGATGAATGTTAGAAGTTAGTTCTCTCAGGAATCATGACGAAACAAACGGGGCAATAAAATCGGCTCAGCGATTTTCGAGATTACCGCGGAAATATAAAAACAAGTGTCCGACGTAGCACAGGATAATTTCAGGATATATAATTGCGGGAGAGATAAAAATCATACGATTGCCGAAGAAATTGAATTTTCTCTCGGAAACAAAACAATTGACTGGGTGATAATTCTAGTCGCGAGAAAAAAGTTTGTTCGTAGTTTAAAGCTGTCACGACGCTTTTCGTTCGATAATCTAGTTTTATTGAAAGAAAGTAGTTTACTCTCTGTCGCGAATGATAAAAGTTTAGTTGTGACGCTCGCAAGCGCAGAGAGTTGCAAATAAGGGAAAGATTCTTTTTTTACTAGGTCGCGCCACGTATGCCATTTAAATGAGCAAGGAAGCGCTTTGAATCGCAAATGCAATTATACGCCGGCCGTGCACGAGGATTTCAAAAATGAAGTGCACGCGCGTGTCCGATAAATAAATCTCGTGTGAGACAATGAGGATAAGAGTTCGGCCATTCGTAACGCTGCTCCACTTTTCCTCGTTACTCGCCGATGCAATTAAGTAGGTTGCACGTACCATATGGGACCGCCGGTCGTTACCCATAAGTCGCGTGCGCCGGAAAAATTGCAAGTGCTAGCTATTCTCTTCCGTGTTAGCGAGGTTTCTTTTATTTTCTCGTTCTCTTTCTTTGTACGTCGATTAATCCTCGTTTTGCTCAGTCGCGCCCACGTCTTCACGCGAGTTATTGTTGCATTTCCGTGCAAAACGTCGGGACAAAGCAAAATTATTCTGTGTGTGAATAACGTTTTTCCGTCGATATTTCCGTAAACATCTTAATGTGATAAGTGAAGAGACAAGACCGTAACTTGTAAAACAAAATGTCGCATTTTTAATGCCGATAACTGAATTTAGAGATTAAAAGTAGAATTTTCAATCTCGAGAGACATGTATCTTTGATGGGGCAATTTGTGCGATGCGTCATTATGCCAACGTGTTACGTTATAGATCGGTAATCGGGAATAAAAAACTTCGCGGAGACACGTATAATTTTCTTATTAATATGATAAGTGCCAGCAGTGGAATCCACACTACTACGTGTGTCGGCAGCAGTCTAGTTATACATAAAACATTTTTTACATTCCACACGTTGAGAGCACGCCCTCCATAAGTTTCGACATCCGATCTCATGTTGTATGGATTTTAGGATTAAATAAATTTTCCAAACACAGCATCCTCTAGAATCGAAGGTTCACGTTCGATATGACTGATATCATGTTTGAACCGAATTTCTGGACGTACAATAGTAGCGCGTTTGGTGGCGAGAAATCAGGTAGATCCAAAAGGACCACGGGGAAAACAGGACGAGACGGCATTCCTAAACCGTGAATCCCTCCGCGCATCTCCTCCACGATCTCCTGCTTCTTCTTCTCGTTCTCCCTGGTTTTCATTATACATCGTCCTCCGTCTCGTCATCGTCGTTGTACGCGACCCTAAAAATATACACCGACGTGTACTCGCTGCCACAGTTATCTACCTTCCACTCGGAGGAAACTCGACCGAGTACACACACCGTCGAACGGGATTCCAAAAAGTAGAACATCCGGCAACACGCTCGCTCATCTGTTCTTACGCGATCATCCGTCGTGCTATGTATGTATGTACGTTGTACGCGCGTGTACTCGCTCGCTCGCTCGCACGCGGTTTTTGCCGGAAGAACGTATCCAGCGCGAAGAGACGGCCACAAGCGCAGGAAAAGAGACACCGTCTTGCGTGTCCAAGCCAACGACCCGAAGAATTATATCATCTTTCTTCTCTATAATAAAATTTTAATTAAGTAAAGTTTTATCTCGCGATCTTCATTCCATCCGTTCATTTTTTTTACACACTTCCATAGAAATTTTTTTATCATTACAGTTTAAAACAATTAAATTTTTTCAAGCTTCAACGCGTATCATCCTTGTGGATTTTTTTAATGCAATCTTCCTCATTTTTATTCATATTTTCTAATAGCGACATAATGTTTTCCTTCTTTTCTCAAAACCAATTCAACCGCAACGGGATAATACGCACATTGTGATCGTCGAAGTTAAAATATCACGCCCGTCTCTTCTCTGAGGGAAAATAATATTTTACATATACGTTCCTCGAACGAGAAATGCTAATGGTTGTCGGAGAGAACCGCGTGCGTGATGCCCAGCATGGCCGTTTGACCTTTTGAAAGAAAGGAAGGTCGTCATCAAGTCTCTTTCTCTCTCTCGACAAGTCCAGCGCCAACTGCATCAGCAATATGACTGAGGAATGCCGCGTACATCGTTTCTCTTCAACGCGCGTTTCGGTCAAACTCGTCTCTAATTAAAAAATAATCTTCTTTCGTTAAAAATAATTTTGATCACGAGAGAATTTGTAACGAGCAAAAGAGTAATTATGTTTAAAACACTTGTAAAAAATAAAGCAAAACATGATATCAAACTTTTTTATTTTTAAAACCTTTTTAAAGCCTTTTTAAAACTTTTCTAAAACCTGTTTACTCTAACAAGTGCGTCTTAAAGCATTCTAAGCGATCGGAGTTTACATAGAATTTTCTAATGTAACCGGATGTAAAAAACAATAGGTGTTGATAAGAAGAGTGTAGCAGAAGATACGTCGAAGAGTAAACACATGTTAGTTACAACCAGTCGAGACAAACTCGTTGATACGTTGCGAGATAAAGTTCCATTATTTCAGTGAAGTCCCTTTCGACTGTCAACCCTCTTATATATATAAGGCGTGCATTAAAACCGATCGAGGTCGTTGTGTCCGTCACTGTCGACGCAGGTCACCGATTAACCGCCTTTCCTGTGTGCTCACCGACAGTAGATGAGCAAAAGTATCCGGTTGCGTGGAAACACTTACATACTTCAGAGTAGGGTTTCCTGTTTCTACGCTTTCCAGAAGTTCTTAACTTCGGACACAAACCTCGTGTGCGATGTAAGAAAAAAATGTATTAAACAATACATAGAAATTTTGTGTGTAGTTTTTTTTCTTTTTATTTACAAAGTCACTGTTTAGCAACAAGACAATGACTCGCAGCGAGTATAATGAAATGTTGAAATCGCATGTTTGCGATGCGTTATTACAACTTTGTGCATGGATTTCTGGCAGGGTAGACAGTTTAATGTGATGTTTCTTCGTTGCGTAGGATGGGAGCTGCGAGGCATACACTGTTATAAATTCTTCAACATCAGACACTCTTGGGAAAAAGCGGCGGAACTATGCAGGAGGTAAGCCACGCGCTATTAATCCTTCCTTTTATTAGTTCAGCTATCTAAAGTTCGACCTTAATAAGAGACCGATGTCTCTCTTGTAAAATAAAAATTAAAAAAAAACGCGATATATATCGCAACTTGTTGGTTCAGTTATCTCGAGGGAGAAACGAATCTGGGAAGAAATTCTCTTCATTCTTGTATGGATTACGCGATGTTAACAGCACAGATCTTGACGATAATCTTGATCATCTGTTGTAGGTACGGGAGCGAGCTGATGGTGGTGGAGTCTTACAGCGAGAACAATATGTCGGCTAGTATGATCGGCCGGCATTTCGATCGTTACTGGCTGGGACTCGCTTCGCTCGACGATCTGCGAACCAACACTCTCGAGTCCGCCGCAGCGATGCTTGTCTCTCAATATGCCGGTTCGTAATGCACAATTCCGTTCTTGCTCGATTTACTCGCCGCATTCTGCGCGAGCGAATCTCGTAATCCCGGGTGTACCTTGAGCACACGCGCGCGCACAAACACACACAGAACCGCGCTTCTCTCTGCTTTATTTTTCTTGTGCGCGTGATGTCTTATTCCTCGCTCTTCGCCATTAACGATCGACTACAAGACCTTGACCGATATTCCGTGTAATATAATGGAATCCGCAAATGCGTCTCTTGAATCACAAAAAAGATAAAAATTTTAGAGAATGTCATATGTTATAATTCAATTTTCTGAAAATCCATTTACTGTAAATTGAAGATCTAAAAATTTTTTAAATTTAACTTTAAAACCTTGAGTTTGATTAGAACTTTTATAGAAATTATATAAATATTATTCGAAAATTTGAAAGATCTCTAAATTGAATATAGATTAATTATAGTTTAATTGTGACGTATTCTGGTCGTGAAAAAACAGCTAATTATTACAGAAAAAACATTTATTAATGTCAATTAATATAATAAAACTCTGGCTTGATTGTTTCTGAACGTATTACAAAATTAAGCGGACTAACAATAATACGCGCGCGCGCACGTTTCGCTCCGATCTTCCATACGCGCGGGGCCAGTTTCTATCAGGGTCACGGAAACGCGGAACTCGCATACATACACACGGCACGAAGACACACTTTTCCCACAACAATGCTCAAAGACATGTCGTCGCTTTGTGTCCGTTTTGCTCGCAAGCTGCAATTTCCCCCGCGCATTTACACACCACTGTCCGCACCACTAAACCGCACTATTAATTACGCGCTAAGCGCGCGCGCGCAATTAACTGTGTATTATCGTTACAGCAGCAGGTGCAATTATCAACTAACGTAATAACACATAAGACGAACTTGATAGTCCCGTCCTGCTTAAATGATACGTGCACATATCATTTAAGATATTGTTCATTATTACCTCCATTTAATTATTAGGTACATTTTGTTGCACGAAGCAATAACAAATGATATACAAAACGTTCGTTACGGCCGCAATTAAAAAAAAATAAAACTGTCATCACCGACATTTGCGAGAATTATGTTTTTACATGTGTGCGTTGTTAAAAAATGTAGGTTTCTGGGCGCCGAGACAGCCGAATCCGCAGTCAGGCGAGTGCGTAGACGTCGTCTTGACGGACGACCGACAAACGTGGGAATTGACCACGTGCGAGTCTCTTCTTCCTTTCATGTGCCGTGCCAACGCCTGTCCTTCCGGTAAGACCGTCACGTGAATCGCTGGCAACGCGACCGCGTAACGGCGGCCACGGCAAGCTCTTCATATTTCACGCGCGGAACGGGACGTGATAATCTTCCGTGACGGAGTATCTCTCTCTTTTCGTAGGTTCGTTCCACTGCTCGAACGGCAAGTGTATCAACGCGGCGTTCAAGTGCGACAAGCAGGACGACTGCGGCGATTATTCCGACGAGTTGGACTGCCCGGCTAACTGCCAGTATTACATGGCGAGCAGCGGCGACGTCGTAGAGAGCCCGAATTACCCACATAAATATGCACCCCTCAGCAATTGCAAGTGGACTCTGGAAGGCCCTCAAGGTCACAACATTCTCCTACAGGTGAATCTTCCATTTAACACGAGTCGACGTATGTCGTGTATTTCTAAATCAACGAAAAAAAAATCTATTGCAAATATCTATTGCAAATTGTGTTAAACCATCGAGTTCCTCATAAAAAAATTCATGTGTACCGCAAAGTGCGCGTTTTTAAGTCGAATGTATCGCATCTATTGTTACCTCCTTTCCGCGTTGCAGATTGATTGGTTGGCTGATTGAGTCGAATCGAATCGGTAAGATCGAGAGAGTAAATAATGACAGAAAAGCGATTTTGACAGTTTGTCGTACACGTGGAGAAAATTAAACGTGACTAAAGTAAAGTCACGTGACAGGAAAAAGTAGAAAAACAACACGTGACTAAAGTAACGTGACTGTAAATTATATTATATATAATATTAAATAATATATATTATACATATAATTTATTAAATATTTATATTATACTTTATATTGTATTATATGTATTATATACCTTCTACAGTAAGGTCACTGACCTCGGCCGCGCGACCTTGGTGGGATCACTGACCTCGGTCGCGTGACAGCGGCGGGGTCACTGACCTCGGTCGCGTGACAGCGGCGGGGTCACTGACCTCGGTCGCGTGACAGCGGCGGGGTCACTGACCTCGGTCGCGCGACCTTGGTGGGGGGGGAGTCACTGATCTCGGCCGCGCGACCGCGGCGGGATCACTAACTTTGGTCACGTGATTACGGTATATATATATGTGTGTGTGTGTGTGTGTGTGTTTGTTTGTATTATATATAATATATATAATATTCTCTTTTTTACTCTTTTCCTTGTCGCGTGACTTTAATCACATGTTTATGTCTATTCTTCTCTTTTTCTTTTATTTTTCGAGTTTGATTTTCATGCATTATTTCTGACATCTCTTATATGTACATCTCTCTCATGTGTATTATATTGTTTGTAAGACGTATATATCAGCTGTCATTGCGGTGACAGGTTGTGTTTACTGGCACAATACGTTAAAATAAAAAAACAATAACAGCGTGCGCGTAGTGCACGCCTGTGTTTACTAGTAAGTTATTGTAATCATAACTTGTTATTTTTAGTTCCAAGAATTCGAGACCGAGAAGAGTTTCGACATAGTTCAGATCCTCGTAGGCGGTAGAACCGAGGAGAAGTCCGTGAATCTTGCGACTCTTTCGGGCAAGCAAGAACTCGGCAGCAAACTCTTCGTCTCAGCCTCGAATTTCATGATAATAAAGTTCAGTACTGACTCTTCGGTAGAGCGAAAAGGATTCCGAGCTTCGTGGAAAACCGAGCCACAGGCTTGTGGCGGAATTCTCAGAGCGACACCGCAAGGACAAGTGCTTACGTCCCCGGGTTATCCGCAAAATTATCCGGGCGGTCTCGAGTGCCTGTACATTCTGCAGGCTCAGCCTGGACGTATAATGTCTCTGGAGGTAAAGCGTTTTGTGTTAAACGAAATTCAATATTTGACATTACAATTTCTTTGAATGAAAAAAACAAGGATGTGTATTTTTCTGCTTTGATAGATCGAGGACTTGGATCTCGAGACGAATCGGGATTACATTCTCATAAGAGACGGAGATTCACCGATGAGCCGACCGATTGCACGTCTCACCGGACAATCTGAGGACAATCCGATTGTCATTATGTCCACCGGAAACAATTTATATCTGTACTTCAAAACGAGCCTAGGCGATTCCCGTAGGGGTTTCAGTATTCGCTTCACGCAGGGTTGCAAAGCTACGATCATCGCGAGAAACGGAACGGTTAAATCGCCTTCTTACGGCCTTAACGATTATCCCAATAATCAGGAATGTTTGTACAGAATTCGAAATCCCGACAGAGGACCGCTCTCCCTGAAATTTGTCAATTTTGACGTTCACAAAACAGACTACGTGCAGGTGAGCGTAACACATACAGTTTCGATGTGTTTTATGTATACCTATACATACGTGTGTGTATATATGAAAGATGTGAAAGACAAATTTAAATTAATTCCATTAAATATATATAAATGATGAAGCTTCACACACACACATCTGTGTTTGATGGGATTATTTAACTTTCATCTGCTTGCGAAATGAACAGATATATGACGGCTCCAACACGAATGGACTGCGTTTACATTCCGGAAGCGGTTTCACTTCGAACACTCGACCTAAGATCACGCTCACTGCGGAAAGCGGAGAAATGTTAGTGAGATTCGCCTCCGACGCTTTGCACAGCAGCAGCGGCTGGAAAGCTGAATTTTCTGCCGGTGAGCTGTGTAATCTTTTAATACAATATTTATAAATATATATACCTTGCATTTTTTTATTTTTTATTTTTTTTCTATTACATTGATCTTTGCGTGAAAAACTGATGTATTTTACTAATTTCGAAAAAATAATTGTTTTTAGATTGTCCGCCATTACAACCTGGTGAGGGAGCTTTAGCGTCGAGTAGAGATACAGCTTTCGGCACGGTGATTACATTTTCATGTCTGCTGGGACAGGAATTTGCCACCGGCAAATCGAGAATTTCCACGGAGTGTCTGCCCGGTGGTAACTGGTCTATCACGTATATTCCTAAGTGTCAGGAAGTTTATTGCGGTCCAGTGCCTCAAATTGACAACGGATTCTCGATCGGTTCTACGAACGTTACTTATCGAGGATTAGCGACCTATCAATGTTACGCGGGATTCGCGTTTCCAACCGGAAGACCGACGGAGAAAATTTCCTGCTTGGCTGACGGAAGATGGGAGAAGAAGCCTTCTTGTTTAGGTTCGTTAAAAATTGTTTTGATTGATACCGTAATTACGTATAAAAAATTAAGATTGGCATTATTACAAAAATTGCACGTTTTAAAATCATGTATTCACTTTTTTTCAGCGTCTCAATGCGCCCCGTTACCAGAAGCGCCTCATTCCAACATAACTATCTTGAATGGAGGTGGTCGAAGTTACGGTACGATCGTTAGGTTCGAATGCGAGCCTGGCTATGTACGAAGCGGACATCCGGTCATTCTTTGCATGAGCAACGGTACCTGGTCCGATCAAGTGCCGACGTGTTCGCGTAAGTAAATATTAATGATATACAAAAAAGACTTTCTTTTACACTACTGTTATATAAAATTACGAAATTTATTTGTTCATAGGTGCTAAATGTCCGCTGCTGCCAACAATAAAAAATGGATTCGTCGTCGATACGAACATAGATTACTTCTTCGGCGATGAAGCCAGAGTGCAGTGTAACAGAGGCTACAAGCTAACCGGATCAAATATCATACAATGCGGACCGTATCAGCAATTTGATAACGTGCCAACTTGCGAAGGTAGATATTATTTAAATATTTGTTGTTCGAGAAAGTTCCGAGTATTATATTTTATTCGTATTTTCATCGCGACATCTCGAACGTTCGCAAAGGCTGGTGGTTCCGTTTGAATATAAAAATCTGTTATTTATTATGATCACGGTTCGGAGACAAATAAGCTTAACCTTGTGGAAAGCAGCCTGGTGTCACGTGCCGATTTTTTGTTGAGATATTTCATGGGCTAAACACGTGTAACCGTTGCGAATAAAATATGTTTACTCGAAAGTAGCGGCTCGTCAGTTATTCCTCACTATATGATACGTCTTCGCCGGTCGAAAGCGAACGGAACCCCAGCTCGTCTGGCGAACACTTTTAAACTCACACGAGAACATTCGGTCCACGATCATTATGAATAAATTGTATAAATAAAATCATCGAGCTTGAATTGTTACTTCCCGTCATTATAACCTGTTGTTGAACCGGCAAACAAAAAAATAACTTTAGTGTAGCCCTGTCGAAGTCTACATTTACAAAACTAAATATTTATTATTATCATTGAAACAACACAGTTTTTTCTATTTTTTTCATTATTTATTTTCAGATATAAACGAATGCACGTCTAGCCAATGCGATCTGGCCTCTACGGAATGCATAAACAATCCCGGCGCGTTTACTTGCAAATGTAAACCTGGTTTCGCACCGACAATGGAGTGTCGGCCCATCGGTGATCTCGGGCTCATAAACGGTGGCATTCCTGACGAATCGATTACAGTTTCCAGTTCGGAAAATGGATACACAAAAACCGTAATACACTCTCATTTTGTAACATATTGTTAATCAAATTTTTTAAATTTCTTTTATTGTGTTATATCTTTTATTGTGATATTAAAGGGAATTCGTTTGAACGGCTACGGCTGGTGTGGCAACAATATCGAACCAGGCGCGAATTGGGTGATGATCGACATGAAAGCGCCTACGATAATCCGCGGTTTTCGCACGCAGATCGTAAACAGGCCCGGCGAAAACATCGCGTACACTACAGCCGTACGAATTCAGTACACGGATGATTTGACGGACATTTTCAAGGATTATACTAATCCGGACAAAACGCCGGTAGAATTCAGGATTCTCGAAGCGACCCTCTCCGTATTGAATCTTCCGGTGCCGATCGAGGCACGCTATGTGAGATTCAGAATACAGGATTACGTTGTTGCGCCGTGCATGAAGTTGGAGATAATGGGCTGCACGAGGCTGGAATGCACCGACATCAATGAGTGCGCTTTAGGAAACGGCGGTTGTCATCAGAAGTGCATCAATAGTCCTGGCAGCTATTCCTGCATGTGTAACACGGGCTTCGAACTGTACAAAGGCAACGGCACCGCTGGATACAAACTGGCAAAATCAGAAACCGGCGAAAAGGACGGCGACTTGTATCAGAGAAATAAAACGTGCGTGCCGGTGATGTGTCCGTCGTTGACCGCGCCGGAAAACGGAAAACTATTGTCGACTAAGGTAAAATAAAAGTAAATAATTTATGTGGTTGTCTAAATAAATTTTTTTTATAGACTAAATTTTTTGAGAAACAAAACTTTGTTCTACAGGAGCAGCATCATTTCGGTGATCTCGTCAGATTCCAGTGTAACTTTGGTTACGTACTGTCTGGATCTTCCGCTGTAATTTGTACTTCTTCCGGAGTCTGGAACGGAACTGTTCCCGAATGTCAATGTGAGTAATATGCAAAATATTTTAAAATAATCATATATACGAATTTTGTAACAAGAGAGAAAACTAATTTTTATAACGAATAATTATCTTTTTCTTTTTTTTTATTTATGTTGTTTCAATAAATAAATTAAATACAATTTCTAATTGTAGACGCAAAATGTGTATCGTTACCGGACGACAAAAACGAGGGGCTTTCTGTGATTCGGAACGACGAGACCAGTGTGCTGGTGCCGTTCAAACAAAACGTCACTCTCAAGTGCGGCAGTAACGGCCGCTACTTGCGCAATACCGCGACTTCCGGTTTCCGGCAATGCGTCTACGATCCTAAACCTGGTTTGCCTGAGTATTGGCTGTCTGGCTTGCAACCGGCTTGTCCTCGCGTGGATTGCGGGAAGCCTCTTCCCACTCCTGGAGCCGAGTATGGCCAGTACTTGGACACCAAGTACCAATCGTCTTTCTTCTTCGGTTGTCAAGACACCTTCAAACTGGCCGGTCAGACCAATCGCAACGACAATGTTGTGCGCTGTCAGGCAAACGGCGTATGGGACTTTGGAAATTTACGATGCGAAGGTCCGGTTTGCGAGGATCCCGGCAGACCAAGTGACGGTTATCAGATTGCCCGTAGCTACGAACAGGGATCAGAAGTACAGTTTGGTTGCAGCAGGCCCGGTTACATTCTTATCAATCCACGTCCGATTGTTTGCATTCGCGAACCCGAATGTAAGGTCGTAAAACCACTTGGCTTGACTTCCGGACGAATTCCAGACTCAGCGATAAACGCCACTTCCGAGAGACCGAACTACGAAGCCAAGAACGTACGATTGAACTCCGTAACCGGTTGGTGCGGCAAGCAGGAAGCTTTCACTTACATCAGTGTCGATCTCGGTCGCGTCTACAGAGTGAAGGCAATCTTGGTCAAGGGTGTGATTACCAACGACATCGTCGGTAGACCCACTGAGATCCGGTTCTTCTACAAACAGGCGGATAACGAGAATTACGTGGTGTATTTTCCAAATTTCAATCTGACTATGCGCGATCCAGGAAATTATGGCGAGCTCGCGATGATTACATTGCCTAAGTACGTTCAAGCTCGTTTCGTGATCCTCGGTATCGTCAGCTACATGGACAATGCTTGTCTCAAATTCGAGCTGATGGGATGCGAGGAATCAATGATCGAGCCATTGTTAGGTTACGATTATGGATTCTCGCCGTGCGTGGACAACGAACCACCAGTCTTCCAAAACTGTCCTCAGCAGCCTATAGTTGTGCAGAAGGGAGCCGATGGGGAATTGCTTCCGGTGAACTTTACGGTGCCGACGGCCATTGACAACAGCGGAAGTATCGCTCGACTAGAAGTGAAACCTCAGACCTTCAGGACGCCCATTCAAATTTTCCAAGACACTGTTGTAAAATACATAGCTTACGATTACGATGGCAACGTTGCTATTTGTGAGATTAATATCACCGTGCCGGGTTAGTATAATTCGTTTTATATTATTGTCTATTAATATTTTAGTATTTTATTTTTTTATTATTAAAAAAATGTTAATTTTTTGGAAGTACAGATGTGACTCCACCACAACTGAGCTGTCCTCAGAGCTTTGTTGTCGAACTGACTGAGAAACAAGATAGCTACTCCATTAATTTCAACGAAACGCGAAGACGCATCAATGCCACAGACGCATCCAGTCCTGTGATAATCACTTTCCTACCGGAACGCGCGGTGATTCCGATTGGTAGTTTCGAAAATGTTACGGTATACGCGACTGACTACAGCGGAAACAGAGCGACCTGTCACTTCCAAGTGTTGATCCAGGCGACGCCCTGCGTCGATTGGGAGCTGAAACCGCCGGCTAACGGTGGTTTGAAGTGTCTTCCGAGCGATAAGGGATTGCAGTGCATAGCCACTTGTACAACTGGATACAGATTTACCGATGGTTCGTTCACAAAGACGTTCGGATGCGATGTCAGTAACAAATTGTGGACACCTTCATCGGTAGTACCGGATTGTGTGTCAGAAAGTAAGTTTTAGAAAATTCTAAATTGTTTTCTTAATACTTGATTTTGTAATTAATGACAGACTATATGTAAACAATTTTTATTTATTAAATAATTACATTTGCAGACACTCAGCAGGCGGATTATCACGTAATTGCCTCTGTAACTTATCGCGCGAACGGCGCCGTTTCTCGATCTTGCTTGCCGATGTATCAAGACCTCATGTCTCAATATTACACGAATCTTAATAATATTTTGACGCAACGGTGTTCGGCAGTTAACGTGAATATGAATGTCTCTTTTGTGAAATCAGTTCCTTTCTTGATAGAAGAAAACGTTCTTAAGGTAAGAAATATATCGAGTATGTGTGTTTGAAAATAAATTTTATTTTTATTAATTATTTTCTATTTTATACTTATTAATTATCATCAAATTACATATAATTAATTGCATATCAACACATTAAAGACTAAACGAATGTTTGATCACTTTTAGATGGACTTCATATTGGTTATTGTCCCAGCAATACGTCAATCGCAACTGTACAACCTTTGTGGCTCGACATTAAATCTTATTTTCGATTTGTCAGTACCGCATGCAAGCGCGGCCATTGAACCTCTTTTGAATGTTTCTGCAATCGGAAATCAGTGTCCGCCGCTTCGCGCTCTCAAATCATCTATTAGTAGAGGTTTTACGTGTAGTATTGGTGAAGTGTTAAATACGGATACCAACGATGTTCCTCGTTGTTGTGAGTAATTTACTTTGAGTTATTTAGCTCAAACAACACATATTAATAATTTTCTTATAAAAGAATTAATTTTAAATATTTTTTTATACTTTCAGTGCACTGTCCAGCCGGAACGTTTGCCGGAGAGAAGCAGAAACAATGTACACCTTGCCCGAAAGGTTTCTACCAAAATAACGATCGTCAAGGTACTTGCTTACGCTGTCCCTTCGGCACATACACGAAAGAGGAAGGATCGAAGAGCATAGACGACTGCATACCAGTTTGTGGTTACGGCACGTACTCACCTACCGGTCTTGTACCTTGCTTGGAGTGTCCCAGAAACAGCTACACCGGCGAACCGCCAGTAGGAGGGTACAAAGATTGCCAGACTTGTCCAGCTGGAACGTTTACCTATCAACCGGCCGCACCCGGTCGTGATCGTTGCCGTGCCAAGTGTTCTCCTGGCACGTACTCGGACACGGGATTAGCTCCTTGCGCTCAGTGTCCTAAAAACTTTTATCAGGCCAAGCACGGAGAAACCACCTGCGTCTCATGTCCTACGAACATGTACACGAGCGGATCTGGTTCGGTGGGTCCTGAGGAATGCAAGCCTGTTCAGTGTACTGAAAATGTGTGCCAACATGGCGGTCTCTGCATGTCTTTGGGACACGACGTACACTGTTTCTGTCCGGCTGGTTTCTCCGGAAGACATTGTGAGATCGACATCAACGAGTGCGCGTCTCAGCCGTGTTACAACGGCGCTACTTGCATAGATCTACCGCAAGGTTACAGGTGTCAATGCGCCACCGGGTATTCCGGTATAAACTGCCAGGAGGAAAAGTCGGAATGTAACAACGACACATGTCCCGAGAGGGCTATGTGCAAAGACGAACCTGGATATAACAATTACACTTGTCTCTGTCGATCAGGATATACTGGAATTGATTGCAATTTTACGGTAAGTCTTTTCTTGTAAAACTGTTTTAATTAAAAAAAAATTAAATAATAAATAAAATAAATAAAAGTAAATAAAAGAATATTTACAGTTATTTAATTTGATTTTTATACGTATATTTTTTTTCTTTCAGATTAATCCATGCTTAGCCAGCGGAAATCCTTGCAACAACGGTGCGACCTGCGTGGCTCTTCAACAAGGTCGCTACAAGTGCGACTGTCTACCAGGATGGGAGGGTCAGAGCTGCGAGATCAACACCGACGATTGCGCTGAACGGCCCTGCTTACTCGGTGCCAATTGTACCGACCTAATCGACGACTTTTCCTGCGATTGCCCGCCAGGATTCACAGGCAAACGTTGTCACGAAAAGATCGATTTGTGTTCTGGCAATCCGTGTCTGAACGGGATCTGCGTAGACAAGCTCTTCAGCCACGAGTGCATCTGTCATCCGGGCTGGACTGGCGCGGCCTGTGAGACTAACATCAACGAATGCGCGTCCAAACCCTGTAAAAACAATGGCCAGTGTATCGATCAGATAAACGATTACACTTGCACCTGCGAACCCGGTTTCACAGGCAAGCAATGTCAGCACACTATAGACGACTGCGCTTCCGATCCTTGCCAAAATGGAGCGACATGCATCGATCAACTGGAAGGATTCGTATGCAAATGCAGACCTGGTTTTATCGGATTGCAATGCGAAGGCGAGATTGATGAATGCCTTAGCGATCCTTGCAATCCGATTGGCACTGATCGTTGTGTGGATCTCGACAATACGTTTGTCTGTCAATGCCGCGAGGGTTACACTGGTTCTTCCTGCGAGATCAACATAGACGATTGCGCATCCAATCCTTGTCTAAACGGCGCAACATGTAGAGACGAAGTCGACGGCTTCAAGTGCATATGTCCCGAAGGATGGACCGGAGTTTACTGCCAGACGGACGTCGGCATGTGTCAGAATCGACCTTGTCAGAACGACGCCAATTGCGTGGATCTGTTTTTAGATTACTTCTGTGTGTAAGTACATACACAATACGTATATTTATGATAATTTATACAAATGAGTAAATTTATTGAAATTTATTGTACATTTTTTCGCATTCACAGCTGTCCGTCCGGAACCGATGGCAAGCAATGTGAAACGGCGCCGGAACGTTGCATCGGAAATCCGTGCATGCATCACGGTCGCTGTCAAGACTTCGGTTCTGGCTTAAATTGCACTTGTCCCGACGATTACACGGGTATTGGTTGTCAATACGAATACGACGCCTGTCAAGCCGACGCTTGCAAAAACGGCGCTACTTGCATCGACGAGGGTCCTGGATTTACATGCATATGTCCTCCGGGATACACAGGTATATATCGATTTAAAAGTTTTACGTCAGTCATTAATCTCATCGTTGCACGACAAATAAATAAGAATAATTGTTTTAATTATTACGCCAGGCCAAACTTGCGAGGAAGATATAATCGATTGCAAAGAGAATTCCTGCCCGCCGTCGGCAACCTGCATCGATCTTACCGGCAAATTCTTCTGCCAATGTCCGTTTAACTTAACTGGAGACGATTGTAGAAAATGTAAGTTTTTTCGAAATGATTTTTTGAAATCATCAAAATAACATTTTTCTGTATAATTAGTTGTTAAAATTAATTAATTTCTGATTCTTTCAGCTATCCAAGTCGACTACGACTTGTACTTCAGTGATCCAGGACGCAGCAGTGCTTCGCAGATTATTCCATTCTTTACTGGTTCAACGAAGAGCCTAACAGTCGCTATGTGGGTGCAATTGACACAAAGAGACGAGACCAGTGTTTTCTTCACTCTTTACGGAGTCAGGTAAAATTACTTCACACTTTTTTTTAAGTAGGTACAAATTCTTTTCTCTTCTGTAAATAATAATGATTTAACATAATTTTTTTTTCTTCCAGTTCTCCGCACGTTCCAACAAATCGCAGACTCATGCTTCAGGCGCACAGTAACGGAGTCCAGGTATCTCTCTTCCACGATCTGCTGGACGTCTACTTACCATTCCGAGAATATACTACTATAAACGACGGCCAGTGGCATCACATCGCAGTTGTGTGGAACGGCGAAAATGGCGGAGAACTAATCTTAATCACGGAAGGTCTCATCGCTAGCAAGACCGAAGGCTACGGTAGCGGCAGGTCACTTCCAGCGTAGTAAGTATATTTATTTACAATATACAAAACATTTATTTCAAATTTTTCAAAACAGGATAATAAAATATAAATATCTAGACACACAATTCAAAGACAATTTTGATCTTTTACAGCGCGTGGTCGGTATTGGGAAAACCACCGAACGAAAACACGAAGGGCTACACAGAATCGGGCTTCCACGGTCATCTGACTAAAGTGCAAATATGGAGTCGCGCATTGCACGTTACGAACGAAATCCAGAAACAAGTTCGTGATTGTCGTACCGAACCAGTTCTTTATCAGGGTCTGGTGTTAACTTGGGCGGGATATGACGATACCACAGGTGGTGTTGAAAGAGTCGTGCCGTCACATTGCGGACAGAGAGTTTGTCCACCCGGTTACGGCGGCAACAAGTGTCAGCAACTCGAAGCCGACAAAATCCCACCTAAAGTGGAGCACTGTCCGGGCGATCTCTGGGTGATCGCGAAGAACGGATCGTCTATTGTCACCTGGGATGAGCCACGTTTCAGTGACAATGTTGGTATCAAGAAGGTTCAGGAGAAGAACGGACATCGATCTGGCCAAACGTTATTATGGGGTACTTACGAAATCAGTTACGTGGCTTACGATCATGTCGGAAATTCCGCTACTTGCAATTTCAAGGTTTATGTACTCTGTAAGTAAAATTCATTTATTAATCTGTATTTTTTTTTCTTACTTGATATTTGAACAGATTCTTGTCATTACAGCGGACTTCTGTCCGACACTGGACGATCCCATTGGAGGCACACAGCAGTGCAAAGATTGGGGTTCGGGAGGTCAGTTCAAAGTCTGCGAGATTTCTTGCAATTCTGGACTCAGGTTCTCTCAAGAAGTTCCTAAGTTTTATACGTGCGGCGCGGAAGGCTTCTGGAGACCCACGAGTGATCCTAGTCTACCTCTGGTGTACCCTGCTTGTACAAGTGAGTATTCTATTTATTTTAACTTTTATAATATTTGTTTTGTTCTTTTAGTAATTTAATCAACATCGTACGTATTCTTCTAGGCGCTACACCAGCTCAAAGAGTTTTCCGAATCAAGATGAACTTCCCTACATCGGTGCTTTGCAACGAAGCTGGTCAGAGTGTGCTCAAACAAAAAGTTCGAAACGCCGTGAATTCTCTAAACAGAGATTGGAATTTCTGCTCCTACTCACACGAAGGTAACGTATACTTTCTCCGAGTAAATAATTTCTTGTCGAAACTAAAACTGCGTATTTTCTAATACATTAATTTAATTTTAGATTAAGTAATATAAAAAACAAAAATTGCATAACAAATTAAATTAATATATCGAGAAAAAATAATTATAATAAATTATTCAAATTAATTGACAATTTTCTTATATTTTCCTGCTTGTTTAGGAACTCGTGAATGCAAGGATCTTAACATCGACGTGCAGTGCGATCATCGCATACGCGCAACAAGAGAAACGAGCGAGGAGGACGGCGGAACGTACGTCGTTTCTGCTGCTGTGCCCGCAGAACCGTAAGTAAAACTATTTAATTATTTAGAAAAAAAAAACGTTTAAAAACTTTTGTCGATGTTTTGTCGATTATATATAAATAAACATATTAGCAGCTGCGATTCATTATTGCTCAGCCGCGTGAAAATTCTAAACTCATTTTGTTTACATAAATAATAATATTGCAGTGTCGTAAAATCACGGCTTGCTTTTGTGCTACGATCATGTTAATCATTTGATTCATTATACGCATCAGTGTATGTAGTCATGTCTCTGTTCTTCGTTTCGCATAGTAAAAATCTTCGTACTGAGAATTCTTCTTACTTGTGTTGCATTCATAGAACGAGACAGGGTCGCCAAGGCAGTGATACCTACGAGGTGGAGATCTCGTTCCCGGCGATAAAGTAAGGACATCTCGATTCATGCCACGCGCAATTCAATTCATTTACATGTCTTACATACTCGCCATACGATTATTTCTAATCATTCATTCTAAACAGTCACACGATATGCAATTTATAATCATTTTCCGCAGAATTACATATACGTTTTGATGTTTTCACTGTGAATAACTTTTAGAGGTGTTCCATAAGTGTCAAAAAAAAAAAAAAGAAAAAAACGATAACTAACGACTAATACAACAAATCGGGGTTCAAGTACTTTTTAGGAAAATAAATAAAACCTCTGGTGTGCACGTTGTTACTAACCGATCACAACCGATCACCGTACAAAACAGATGGGACATCACAGAGAAGTGCAACAAGTGTCCATATGTTTTTTTTTTTCACAGTTTGAAGCCAAGCTGTGAAGTAGATCGCAAATTTCTTATTAAAAAAATTTATTATTTCATTGTGCCATTGAATTATAAAAATAAAAAACTAAAAACAACAATTCGAACATTTAAATTACAGGATTCGCAAAGATTGGTTAAGCACAAATTCGAAATTCAAATGTGATTTGATAATTAATAGTAATTTTTTATTTTGAATTTCTATGCGTACTTATTTTGGTGTTCGGCAGCTTTGGTTTGCGATGATAAAACTTTTAATGTGCATTGACAATATACAGGTTCGACAAACCACACAGATATCACCGAGATTTTCACGAATATATAAAAATTATCTATAAATATGTATTAATTATAAGCAATTACTAAGGGTATGAGTGCGGGGTTTAACCTGCGACACGCAAGTTTACTGACGAAGATGCTGTTCCAAAAGACAAAGGCCGCCTTAATTACACTCGCCTCAAGATAACGGCTGTACATATATGCGCCCAAATCCTTTCACGCCTGTTGCTACCGCATAACTTTTCGGTTTATTTACAAAAAAAAACATTAATTTTGTTTTGTATTGTGTTCTACAGTGATCCAATTCTGAACACTAATTCGAACGAGCGCTCCACCGTACAGATGTTGCTCGAGAGATTAATTCTTGAAGAGGATCAATTCGACGTGCACGACATTCTACCTAATACCGTGCCGGATCCTGCGTCTCTCCTTTTAGAATCCGATTACGCCTGTCCGATTGGCCAAGTTGTTATGGCGCCTGATTGCGGTAAGTATATAAAAAAGAGTGTTTATTATATTATATAAATAATTCGAAATTTATACGTACACGATTTTAAAATATGAAATAGATCCTTGTTTTATGGATAAAATTGATAATTTTATTTGTAATGTCGTCGTTTTGCAGTGCCATGTGCCGTGGGAACTTACTACAACGAAGAGACCAGTCAGTGCGTATCCTGTCCCATCGGCACTTACCAGAGCGAATCCGGACAACTGAAATGCAGTTCCTGCCCAGTGATCGCTGGTCGTCCCAGCGTGACAGTAGGTCCTGGCGCGCGCAGCGCGGCAGATTGCAAGGAGCGTTGTCCCGCCGGCAAGTACTACGACGACGCGGTCGGTCTTTGTCGCAGCTGCGGTCATGGATTCTATCAACCGAACGAAGGCAGCTTCTCTTGCTTGCTCTGCGGCCTCGGCAAGACCACGAGAACGTCCGAGGCGGTGTCCCGCGAGGAATGCAGAGACGAGTGCGGATCGGGACAGCAACTGGCCGTCGAAGGAAAATGCGAACCCTGTCCGCGCGGCACATATCGCACTCAAGGTGTGCAAGCATCCTGCCAGGCCTGTCCTCTCGGTAGAACGACGCCGAACATGGGATCCGCGGCGATAGAGGAATGCTCGCTTCCGGTTTGCGAGTCTGGCACTTATCTCAACGGAAGTCTCAACGAGTGCGTGGAGTGCAAAAAGGGAACCTATCAATCGGAACCCCAGCAGACCTTCTGCATTCCGTGCCCGCCTAACACCAGCACCAAAGGACCTGCTGCTGTGAGTTCTTTTTCCTAATATTAATATAAATATCTGTATAAACGTTTACAGAAAATATTATTATAATTCTACATAAAATTAAAGGATATTGAAAAGCATGACCAGAATATTTATATCTATTGACAGACAAGCAAGGCAGACTGCACGAATCCGTGCGAGACCAGCGGCGAGGAGATGCACTGCGACGCAAACGCGTACTGCCTGCTCATACCGGAAACGAGCGACTTCAAGTGCGAGTGTAAGCCCGGATATAACGGCACCGGAACCGTGTGCACAGACGTATGTCTGGGTTACTGCGACAACGAGGGTGTTTGCCTGAAGGATTTGCGCGGACAACCATCGTGCAGATGCAGCGGCAGCTTCACCGGCAAACATTGCACGGAGAAGTCCGAGTTCTTCTACATAACCGGTGGCATAGCGGGTGGCGTCATCTTGATCATCATTGTGGTGCTGCTTGTCTGGATGATTTGCGTGAGGTTAGTAACTCAAAGCCAATCAATCAATACGCGATGTGCGAGATAGTCGACACTCTCGAATTTGTTATCGAAAATGAATGATTCAAAGATATTGATCGCAAGTTAATGTCTAGTCAAGGCAATCAATAATACGCAGCATCCAATGTTTTTTTTTTTTTTTTTTCAACAGAGCCTCTCGAAAGAAAGAACCGAAGAAAATGCTCACACCAGCCACCGATCAGAACGGTTCTCAGGTAAACTTCTATTACGGCGCACCAACGCCTTACGCCGAATCGATAGCGCCGTCACATCACAGCACTTACGCTCATTACTACGACGATGAGGAGGACGGTTGGGAAATGCCCAACTTTTACAACGAGACTTACATGAAAGGTGAGAACTGTGTAAAACGTACAAAATGAGATTTTTTTTGTAATAACACTGTAATAATATTTAATTTGATTTTTTTTTAACTTAAAAACGGGCGCGATGAACATTAATTTCTTTTTTTTTTCCAGAGAGCCTACACAACGGCAAGATGAACAGTCTTGCGCGATCGAACGCCAGTATTTACGGCACAAAAGACGATCTTTACGACAGACTGAAGCGTCACGCGTATACCGGTAAAAAAGGTACAATCCAGCAAGTATCTTCGTAATCATATTAATCAACGCCGGCTCATCATTCGGCATGCGATCGTCCGAAAAAAAAAAATCTTATCAACCGGATCGGAACGCTACGCGTCGCACTCCGGCTATACTTATTTATTTATTAATTAATCTAAGTCTCCACGTGTACCTCCCGTCTTCTTGCTGTCATAGAACACGTAACAAATTTCCGCTCCACTTTTATAACGTAACGACACAAGTTGCGGAGTCATTGGGGCGCGCGCTATCTCAGAAATGTTTTCGAGCGTGCGGCGCAGCAAATAACATTACGAAATATCCATTTTGCAGATAAGAGCGACAGCGACAGCGAAGGCCAGTGACCGGGTAGAACAATGACATTCATGCCAACGTAGAGTACGAAAAGAGCGGGAGATATCAATGTAATCAGACGGGTCGACGACGGTATCTCAACCTTTGTGTGCGACGTTGCCGTCGTTCCTTCTGACCGATCGACGGATCGTGTTTTTATTTATCGAACACTCTTCAATACCATTTCGTGCGAGATTCGCTGTCGTCCTGATCGCGCCATGATACAATGGACATGAAAAAAAAAAAAAAAAAAAAAGACGAAAAGAAGAAAAGGCTCAATCAGAACCGCGAAATCTCGCGACAATACAAGAGAGTGCGCTTTTCGATCGACGACCAGCGAGCGACGCAAAGAATTTTATATTCTGGAACGACGATCGACAGAATAACAATACCGATCGTCGCTTCGGCACGCGTCCGTTGGCGTCGAGTCGCAAATTTGAAGCGCGACGAAGAACCACGAAGCAGAAAAAGAAAAAAAAACACGAGATTCGTCCGTCTTTCGAAGTGAAATTCGATGCGTGTTCAATGATTGAAGGGACTTGAGCGCGCGAGGTTGTAATTTTTGTAATTTAATACTGCGTAGATTTTAAGGACCATTCCGACATTTTCACATCGTCTCTCTCATCCACCGTCCCCTTCCTCTTTTTTTTATTAACTCACAACGATTAACGGTGCGTATGTGAAAAAAGAACTATGTGCGTATGTACGTGTGTGTGTGTGTGTGTGTGCGCGCGCGTATGCCTGCTTGTATGGTAATATAATTATACCTGTATGTGGAATTATATTTTGTTACTTGGAAGAGATACACATGCATAAAGTTGTAATATAATAGTGTGCAGGCGAGCGTATTAAAGCGCAATAAAGAGAGATTTTGAATACGACCGACGCTAGTAAAAAACACCGAGCGAGAAAAGAAGAGAAACCATCTTTGCAACGTGAGAAGAACGTAGGTTGATTCATCAAAACTCTTGAAGAACATTTTCAAGTGCATTTGTCTCACGTGACGATACCTCTTTTTATAAAACCGAAATCGTAAGCCGCCCGGCGATACGTGATAAATAAAACAACGATAAAAACTCTATTCGGTGCGGTGAAAACGCACAAAACGAAGCCTACCACGCTGTTTTTCATTTATGTTGTAAAAACGTTTTAACAAATAATTGTTTTTTTTATTAATAAAATGTATTTTAAAAACTTCCCCGCTGTTTTACTTATATTAAATTTAAATTTAAATTTAAACACATGACGTAGACAACCACTACCTGTATATATTTTTTAAATTAAATATTTATTTATTCTGTTTGATATCCGTTTTTAGTAGTATCACTCTATGCATATTTGGTTTATAATCTAAATTGGTTTTATTATTTCTACTATTACATAACGTAGACGTATTGCGCAATGTACTTATTATTGGATCGAGATGAATATTTATGTTATCATCTACAAAGTCGGTGCTGTCATTTTCTTCACATTCACTGTCGGATTCTATTTGGCTATTAATAGGATTTAACGTACTCCGTTGTTGTATTCCTGTTAAATTGTAATAGACAGTTAACAAAGTAAAATAATGCATTTAATAATAGTAATACAAGAAAATGAGGGAACATACATACCGAATTCTCTGCGCTTCAAAATTCTGAGAGCTTTAATAACGTCAGCATTGTTGCGATTATTTTTCAACACTGTTGAAATAATAAAAATTAAATGTTAACTTTTTTACTAAATTTTCAGTTGAATTAAATAGTATTTATACTTACTGTAGTTTCCAATATCATGAGCCTTTGCATAATTTTTTACCATTAAAGTGATTAGAAACTGAAATGTAAAAAAATCTCAGTTATTTTTCTACCCGCATTTGACAGACAAAAATTTTGGTTTTTGGACAAGAGAAAAATTATATTATGTTTTGTTGTAGTACTTTAATTCGATCCTCGTAATTTTCACTTTCTTGATTCATTATGAACTTTGAATTCAAGATTCAACTTTTCAATTTCACACTTTACTGATAACCATTTTTAGTCAAAGGTAAGAATTTAAAGAATTGTGTGCTTATCGCATATCTGCAATCAGATTATTACAACAAAGTATAATAATACTTTGTATCTTCAATGTGTGTGAAAAAGATCTTGCTCGTTTGTGCAGAACTCTCTCTGGTTTTGTGAAAATTTTAACACAACGTAAGTAATTTACTTGCATGCGGAACACAATTTCGAGCGCGGAAATGTGTCTGAATTAATCAAAAAGATATTTGCCACGATGTTCACGTCGTGCATTACGTACTTTGGTAACATGAGCTAACTTCAATTAAATTATAAATATTTTTTGTCTTTATACCCTTAAAATATTTTAATATTTTTTAATGGTTTTTTATATATAATTTTATATATAATTTTATAAGAGAGTTTGGAGCGTGACCATTCGGGCTTGCTATAAAGGTATCTGATCTCATGCAGGAATTTCCGTTTCGACGTTGAAAGACTGCGAAACAGCATGATAATTACCCACATATACACATGTGTGTGTATGCGTGTGTATTTGTGGGCGAAGAGAGAGGTCATTGGAATGTAAAATGCGTCAGAGAACCCTTTAATGTATTTCTTTTCCTTATACTGAAATCGTGGAAGGAATAGTCTCTTCAAGAGCGTATCGCAATCTCTCGATATATTTTTAAAAAGTGTGTAAAACAAATTAATGCAATTGCGTCATTAAATTCTTTTTTATATATAGTAAATATATATATAATATATTGTAAATAAAAATATTACCGAATAAAGTAAGCAATTATTGTCTGAATAGAGTTTGCCAATTTTATATGACTCTGAAACAATCGTGTGTCATAATATTTTGTTAACTGAAAAATGTAAAACTAGTTGGTAAACTTCCAGTTTGCACTTGCAACTCCATCTAGCTACAGTAGATCGTGTCTAGTAGCTACACCACAGTGTGATAACACTGAGAGCGATGGTTTATTGAAATAATAACTTTATCCTACTAAATGTAGAAATTGCATTTGCGAATAGCGTTTTTTTTTATATTTTTATAGTTTTTAATTGCATTTGCGAATAGCGTTTTTTTTTATATTTTTATAGTTTTTCCTTTAAATTATGTTCTATTGCTATAATAATACAGAGAATAAAAAATATAAAATTGGAAAATAAATTAACATGTTAAAATCGTCTAACCGCTTTCACTCACGTCGATTCGTACTACTAGCTTTCTTATTCCTCCAAAAAAAAAGTTATTCTTACATTCGAACGTGATACTTTCTCTTACACGGCAATCTACAATCCAATTTCAAATCATATTTCACACAATCGTTCGTCTTTAAAAAAAAATTTTACCTACTTTATTTTTGTGATTTTTAAGATCGTTATCGTTATCATATCGCTATATTAGAAATTGTGGTAAATAACGTGATAATTGATAACATAATCAATTGAATTTGAAACAATTTTCTTGATATAAATTGCTTATATAATCATTAATTTCTCTCATAAGCTCTCTCCCACAGTTTCGAAGATCAAAACTCTTCAAATAATGTGCATTTTTTTTTTTTTTTTAAGAAACTCGCGGTAAATGACCGGTGAAATATACAAGGAAAACTCAGTAACAGGCGGTCGCGCGAGAAACCAGGAGGAGGAATAATAAATTATCGACTCTCGACGAGAGAGATTATCGTCTCGAATTCCGTACATGACGTGTTCCGCTCGGCGCCGTTACGGCGCCAACGGGTGCTGCGATTCGCGAGCTGTGAGCTCACCAAGTTGCTGATTCGCCGCGAATGACGTTCACCGGCACGGATATACGCGGTGCGCGCACTGAACGCCGTCCCGTGACGTGTTTAATCCCGGCGCCGTCGCTTCTCCGGCTGCATTGCATGAACGACAATCGGAGCGATCACACGCGACGAAGCGCAGCGCAAGAGAACAGCTGAAAGTCCACCTGATTCATCGACTGCGCGACCCAAGCTTATAGTGAATAAAAACAAGTTATCAGTGCGCGCGCTAGCACGGATCGATCGAGCTTTCTTGGGTTTTTTTCTAAAAGCTCTTCCTCAGCCCAAGTGGAAGGTACACCGACTCCGATCGTCTCTGGGAGGGTGAGTAATTGCAATTATAAGGAATCGCGTGATTTTGCGATATAGTCAGTACTGGTATAGTCACTCGTTATATAATCCCTCGTTTAAGGAAAATTGTGTACAGAACAAAAATACACGTCGTAAACACACACATACATACATACATACACACACACACACATATTTATACATACACATACACATACGTCGCGACGCCTCAATCGGTGGTCGTCGTCGTCGTCGTCGTCGCCGCACCTCTCGGTTTGAAAAGTGCTGCGTAGTCGCGGGTGATCGATCGGGGCGCATGTTGACGTCGTTGCCGTCTGCGCGCCACGTGACTATATATTTTCGGGGTCGCGCGAATATAGTCGCTTCGAGAGCGTTCGCGTTTTGCGTCGCAAGGGGTTTATAGCCGCGCGCGACTACACGGAATTTCCGTGATTCCTAGATGCGCGAATTCCGGTGCCGCGACCGCGACATTGGTACCACGGAATGATGTAACTCGCGCTGGTACGCGAAAATCGGAGTCACATGCGTTCTCGCGGACGCTGGTGACGTTACGTAACTCAATAGTCTCGAGCTCGCTCATGACTGTCTGTTTTTCCGCAGTGCGTCCCCTTCCACTAGCCGATAAATCCCGGAGAAACAGAGCGCGTAAGTTGAACTTTTGCGGAAATTGTGTATCGCGGATTGTCCTAATGAGATAAGAGCTGCGCATCGAGCTCGCAATGCACACGAGCGGCAACATGAAAGGAAATTCTGAAAGAACGTCATGATAAAACAAGTCGAAAAACAAGTTATTTGCACTTTCGATAGACGAGATAAGATAGCTCGTGTATAGGAAGTGGTGATGCAAGATTTTGGAGCAGCTGTGAATTGATGACTAAGCAAATTCGCGCGCGGGATATATCTCGAGTTGGTATCATCCGTATTGAGCAATAAGTTTAACTTTAGGAAAGAAATTGTATATCAATATATACATATATATATATATATTTATATATATATAAATTATATATGTATACACAAGTATATATATATATACACATATATATCTACAAATATATATGCAAAAATTGTTTTAGCATTCAACATATGTGACAGATATAATCTTTTTTAGTGTCACGAGATAGAATCAATTCCTGACAATGTACAATATATAATTGAAAGATCAAACGAGCCCGCCGAAGGCGGGCGAAGTTTGATCGAAATTATATGAAGTGTCTCGTTCGAAGATGATAGTATTGTAGTCATGCTTGTCATGCCTTACATCACAACGTTTAGCGCCTAATATAAAGGAAACGGAAGCACTCCGTGCTGCCCTCCCGCGACTTTCCTTAAGCCCGGTTCATATTGTTT